CATACCTACCCGCCTGCCATTGCGTAACTTGGACCCGTTTCAGAGAGATTTATATGTTAGAGAGAGAGCTAGAGAGGCAAAGAGAGAGAGGGAAATGGCCCAAGTGAGCAAAATCTGCAATGGCGTTCGGACCCCTCGATTTCTTCATGAAATTCCCAAATCTCAGACGCCCAACTCCGTAAATTTGTTCTCTGTTAGGTCACCATTTGTGGGAGCTCTGAATTTCCGGGGTTTGAAATGTGGCGATGAAATGAGGGGAAGTTCTTCCGCTGGTAGAGTAAGCGCCGTCGTTCCTCTTAAGGTTTCGGCTTCCGCCGCCACGATGGTGCCGGAGATCGTGTTGCAACCCATTAAAGAGATCTCTGGGACCATCCACTTGCCTGGTTCTAAATCCCTTTCGAATCGGATTCTGCTTCTCGCTGCTCTCTCCGAGGTATGCAAGATCGTGGGGTTTTTTTTTTTTTTTTTATTTTGCATTGAAATTAACGTATTGGATTTTCTGTTATGCTTAGCGATCGATTGAGCTCGTTTAATTGCTGATCAAGTTTATAGAATGAAAAATGGTTTTGTCTAATAGTATCTCATTGGCTTGGAAAATCATTTGTTCTTCTGTTTGTAAACATTTATTCATGTTCTTTCTGCCTCTGATAATGGATGATGCATTTGATCAAGAAATGGTTGTTCCGTCAATCAAATGCATTTCATGGAGGATATAGCCAAGAATTGTTGTTTATGGTCTGGTCGAATGATTCCATTTACTTCGAGTCAGGTTTTTTCAATAGGTAAAGGGGACATTAGCTCTCTCTTATCAAGTAGAACCGGTCATTGTGACCGGTTGTTCTATTAGTTTGAGCTTTGGAGTGGGGAACGAAACATTCCTTATAAGGGTGTGGAAATCTCTCCCTAGTGGGCGTTTTAAAAACCTTGAGGGAAAGCTCGGAAGGGAAAGCCCAAAGAGGACAATATCTGCTCGCGCTAGACTTGGGCTCTTACAAATGGTATTAGAGCCAGACTCTGGGCGGTATGCCAGCGAGGACGCTGGACTCCCAAGGAGGGTGGAGGATTGTGAGATCCCACATCTGTTGGAGTGGGGAACGAAACATTCCTTGTAAGGGTGTGGAAACCTTTCCCTAATGGACGTGTTTTAAAAACCTTGAGAGGAAGCTTAGATGGGAAAGCCCAAAGAGGACAATATCTGCTAGCGGTGGGTTTGGGCCGTTACAAATGATATCATAGCCAAACACCGGTGGCATGCCAGCGAGGACACTAGGCTCCCAAGGAGGGTGGATTGTGAAATCCCACATCTGTTGGAGTGTGGAACGAAGCATTTCTTGTAAGGGTGTGGAAACCTCTCCCTAGTGGACGCGTTTTAAAAATCTTGAGGGGAAGCTCGGAAGGGAAAGCTCAAAGAGGACAATATCTACTAGTGTTGAGCTTGGGCTGTTACAAATGGTCAGAGCCAGACACCAAGCGGTATTGCCAGCGAGGACGTTGGACTCCTAAGGGGGTGGATTGTGAGATCCCACATCTATTGGCGTGGAGAACGAAACATTCTTTATAAGGGTGCGGAAACCTCTCCTTAGTGGACTTGTTTTAAAAACCTTGAGGGGAAGCCCGGAAGGGAAACCCCAAAGAGGACAGTATCTGCTAGCGGTGGACTTGGGTTGTTAACATCCGGTAGCTTATCGTTGTTATCTCTTATTAATTATTCAGGGAACGACAGTGGTAGACAATTTGTTGAGTAGTGATGATATCCACTATATGCTTGGTGCATTGAAAACACTCGGGCTGCACGTTGAAGAGGACGGTGCGAACAAACGAGCCATTGTTGGAGGCTCTGGTGGTCTCTTCCCAGTGGCCAAAGAATCAAGGGATGAAGAAGTTCAGCTTTTCCTTGGCAATGCTGGAACAGCAATGCGTCCATTGGCAGCTGCAGTTACTGCCGCTGGTGGAAATTTAAGGTGACATTTCCTTGATCAAGTGCTTGAACCGAACACGAATTGAACACGTACCCTTCTGAACGTAAATGAATGCTTGTTTGAAGTGAATATTTAGCTTGACACCAATGTACGTGAGATCCCACGTCGGTTGGAGAGGGGAACGAAACATTCCTTATAAGGGTGTGGAAACCTCTCCCTAGTAGACACGTTTTAAAACCGTGAGGCTGACAACGATACGTAACAAGTCAAAGCGGACAATATCTACTAGCAGTGGGTTTGGGCTGTTACAATGTAATATAGTATACATAACTTGCATAACATCCACTCGTATTCCATTGCGTAATTACATACTAACGACTTAGAAACGTTACAGATATGTTCTTGATGGAGTACCTCGAATGAGAGAGAGACCGATTGGAGATTTGGTTGATGGTCTCAAGCAGCTCGGTGCCGATGTCGATTGTTTCCTCGGCACTAACTGCCCTCCGGTCCGTGTAGTTGGAAAAGGAGGTCTTCCAGGGGGGAAGGTGAGTATTATAACATATAACTACATTATGCCTCACTAGGCAATGTACAATCCTTAAATTTATAGCTATTCGTCATCTTGTTTTCAGGTAAAACTCTCTGGTTCCATTAGCAGTCAATACTTAACTGCCTTACTGATGGCAGCTCCTCTGGCTTTAGGAGATGTTGAAGTCGAGATAATTGATAAGCTGATTTCGGTTCCGTATGTCGATATGACTTTGAAACTGATGGAACGATTTGGGGTCACCGTGGAACACAATGATAGCTGGGATCGGTTCTTCGTTCGTGGAGGTCAAAAATACAAGTAAGTTTGTACAAAATATAGGTGTATTAGCTTCCATAATCCTGTTACACTGGTGCTAACGAGCGAAGAAAAACATCAGGTCTCCCGGACATGCTTATGTCGAAGGCGACGCTTCAAGTGCAAGCTACTTCCTTGCTGGTGCGGCTGTCACTGGTGGGACGGTTACCGTTGAAGGTTGTGGCACCAGTAGTTTGCAGGTAACTGCATACTTCCATATTTTGCATTCCCGACCTTTTCCTACCATAGATATCTCTACCTTCAAGATTCGATGTAATAGCCGAAGCCCACTGCTTTGTGAGATCCCACATCGGTTGGAGTGGGGAACGAAGCATTCTTTATAAGGATGTGGAAACCTCTCCCTACCAGACACGTTTTAAAAACCTTGAGAGAAAGCCCGAAAGGGAAAACCCAATGAGAACAATATCTGCTAGCGGTGGGTTTGGGCCGTTGATATTTTTGTTATATTCTGCTCATCAGGGAGATGTAAAATTTGCTGAAGTTCTTGAGAAGATGGGAGCTAAAGTAACCTGGACAGAGAACAGTGTCACCGTCACTGGACCGCCACGAGACTCTCCGACGAGCAAACATCTGAAAGCAATCGATGTCAACATGAACAAAATGCCCGATGTTGCTATGACACTCGCTGTAGTTGCATTGTATGCCGATGGTCCAACTGCCATTAGAGATGGTACGTTTCTATGTTTTTCGGGTTTAAACGATCGCAAATCGATTCCAACCGGAACCCAATCCGTTTTGATTACTTGAATCTCAAACACCTTGCATTGAGTTTCTCTGTCTGTATTTCAGTTGCAAGTTGGAGAGTGAAGGAGACCGAACGGATGATCGCCATTTGCACAGAGCTCCGAAAAGTTAGTTTGAGTTCCCCTCAATGCCTACGTATTCGTTCTACCTCGTCTTTCGACCGCTCTTGTCGATGCTGTTCTTTTTGCTCATCGTGTTGTGTGTTATATTTCAGCTTGGAGCAACCGTTGAAGAAGGTCCAGATTACTGTATAATCACCCCGCCAGAGAAACTAAACGTGACGGCCATAGACACATACGACGACCACAGAATGGCCATGGCGTTCTCGCTCGCTGCCTGCAAAGATGTTCCAGTTACCATTAAGGATCCCGGATGCACCCGAAAAACGTTCCCCGACTACTTCGAAGTGCTTCAGCAATTCGTCAAGCACTGAACAACCAAGAAAGATATGAGAGATAGGCAGCCGTTTCATTACTGCCAAAGCAGTAAGGAGGCAAGTAATTTGGTATAACCTGAGAGCTTTTAGTAGTAGAAAGGCTGATTTTGGAACTTTGAGACGCCTTATTCACTTTGTTCTTATTACTCCACTTTTGTTTCTAATCTCCCTTCAATGTTTGCTCACTACCTATTGAAAAAACCATAAATTATGAATAAAATTTCCGTCTCGACATCGTTTGAACGTTTTGAATTCATTGGACTCATAACCGGTAGGTAGCTTGGTTGTTTGGAAGCTGAGAAAACGAGAGTTTTATGATGTAACAGCCCAAGCCCACCACTAGCAAAAATCGTCCTTTTTAGGCTTTTTCTCAGAGTCTGTTGGGAAGAAGTTTGCACGCTCTTATAAGGAATGTTTCATTCCCCTCTCCAACCGATGGCAGGTCCCATTAGGGGAAGGAAAGTTTCGAGCTTGGGTCTTTTGTGCAAATGAAGGGCGGGGACGGAGACTGTATTTGTGATCATTACCTTCTCGATTTCTATTCCGTTCAATCATAATTTGACACGCTATATTTCATGGATCTGACCCTATTCTTAGCTACGATATGAAATAAAAAAAATAAAAATAAAAATAAAAATCCGTCCCTCTCAAATGGTTTCCGCGAAGAACAATGGAAGCTATGAAACTAAGAATTTTGGGTTAAAACAGAGAGGTTCAATTGTTCATGAGATTCATTCTCAAAGTTGCAGCTTTTTAAAATTTAAAGAAAGAAATTATTGAATTAAAAATCTATGATTAAATCTAATTTTGTGTTGTTGGAAGAAAGAAATGTGGTTAAATTAGTGGGAAGCTTCTCATCCAAATGATGGGGGCAACAAAAATGACATTTCTGATAGGAGGATCCCAAATTCAAGGCCAACCCAACAACAAATCCAACTGAAAGTTCATAAATGGAAAATGGTTCTCCTAATTCAATTCTATTTTTAATTTCCCCTTTTCCCTCCCGGTTTTCGAAGTGAAAACAACAACAAAATTCAAATTTCTCTTGTTTTTCAACTCTCTTTAACCCCATTTCTTGATCTTCCGTTAGTCAACAATGGTTGGATCTTCCTCCAAGAAACCAGAAGATTCTCCAATGGAAAACTGGTAGAACGCAGCAACAACGCCGCCCCACCGTCGATGCCGGAAGATTTTCGTCGGACCAGTTCCAGAAAACCCTAGCCATAGCCAGTTAAGTTTCCGGCGATTCCCATTTCTGAGATTTTTGTTCAAACCTAAGGAGAAGTAATGTCCCATCTCGATAACATTCCTTCAACTCCGGGAAAGTTCAAGATGGAAAAATCGGCGTACATTCATCGCGTCCGGTGGCAGTCATCGATAACGAAGCTCACATTCTGGTCCTTAATTATACTTGGCTCGATCTTGATTTTCTTCTACAGATCGCCGTCGTCGTCGCCGCTGTCGTCCGATCCTTCCCGCCGATCGCTAAGCACTTACGACTGGGGCGGACCGTCCTGGGAGAAAAGAGTTCGCTCATCGGCTCGAGTTAGGTCTCGTAATGGGATCTCTGTTCTCGTAACCGGCGCCGCCGGATTCGTAGGAACTCATGTCTCGGTGGCGCTGAAGCGCCGAGGCGACGGCGTTCTTGGCCTCGACAATTTCAACAACTACTACGATCAATCGTTAAAACGAGACCGTCAAGCGCTTTTGGAGCGCACCGGCGTGTTCGTTGTTGAAGGCGATATCAACGATTCGGCTCTGTTGAAGAAGCTTTTTGAAGTGGTTCCATTCACGCATGTGATGCATTTGGCAGCTCAGGCCGGCGTCAGGTACGCCATGGAAAATCCTAGTTCTTATGTTCATAGCAACATAGCTGGATTAGTTAGTCTTTTGGAGGTCTGTAAATCTGCAAATCCACAGCCTGCAATTGTTTGGGCATCTTCTAGCTCTGTTTATGGATTGAATACTAAGGTACCCTTTTCGGAGCAAGACCGGACCGATGAACCGGCGAGTCTTTACGCGGCGACGAAGAAGGGTGGAGAAGAAATTGCACACAGTTACAATCATATCTATGGACTTTCATTGACAGGGCTGAGATTCTTCACTGTTTATGGACCATGGGGAAGGCCTGATATGGCTTATTTCTTCTTCACAAGAGATATCTTGAAAGGAAAGTCAATTCCCATATTTGAAGCAGCTGATCATGGCACTGTGGCTAGAGATTTCACGTACATTGATGACATTGTGAAGGGTTGTTTGGCATCTTTGGACACTGCTGAGAAGAGCACAGGGAGTGGAGGGAAGAAGAAGGGACCGGCGCAGCTTCGGGTATTCAATTTAGGGAATACGTCGCCGGTGCCGGTGTCGGATCTTGTGAGCATTTTGGAGAAGCTTTTGAAGGTGAAAGCAAAGAGGAACATAATGAAGTTGCCAAGGAATGGTGATGTTCAGTTTACTCATGCCAATATTAGCTTGGCTCAAAGGGAACTTGGATATAAACCAACCACAGATCTCCCGACCGGGCTGAAGAAGTTCGTCCGGTGGTATATGAATTATTATTCGCAAGGGAAGAAGGCCGATGCGTAGCGGGATTGCTCGGCGTTTACACGGTAGGCTACTTCGATTCTTATTCTTGTTCATTATGATTCGTATTATGATTTGTTGGTTTGACGTTTCTGTGTTCATTGCTATGCTTGGTTGTCTTTCAATTTATATTAATGGAATCACTGAAATTTTTGTTGTTCGTTTGATATTGAGATCTTCTGAAGTTATGGCTCATCTTTTCCCCTTTTGTAGCTTCACAATTGTAGAATTTATGAATGATATGAAGGCATTTCATGTTTTGTGAGCCTGTATCAATGCTATGCAACTCAATAAAATAGCACATAATAGTAGCTTCTTCATTTGTTCCTTCTTTTCGAGTCTTTGAATCTTTCGAATATATAGGCTTTTTTTTAGGAATACCCTAAGATCCCATGTCGGTTGGAGAGGGGAACGAAACATTCCTCGTAAGAGTGTAGAAACCTCTCCCTAATAGACGTGTTTTAAAACTGTGAGACTGATGATAATACGTAATGGGTCAAAGCAGACAATATCTACTAGCGGTGGGCTTAGCTTGTTACAAATGGTATCAGAGCCAGCCACTGGGCGGTGTGCCATCGAGCCCTCCAAAGGGGGTGGATTGTGAGATCCCACAGTTGGAGAGAGGAATAAAAGCATTGCTTGTAAGAGTGTAGAAACCTCTCCTTGGCAGACGCGTTTTAAAATTTTGAGGTTAACGATAATACGTAATAGACTAAAGTGGACAAATCTGCAACGGTGGACTTGGTTTTTGTTACAAATACGGTTTCTTTGTATCACATTTTCGATGAATATTTAACATAAGTTTAGCTGCTATGCAAAGCTAACATTGTCAAACCTTGTTTCTGGTTGTGTTCTTGAGCTACCCCTTAGCACTGCACATGATTTCTTTTGGAAGGTAGCGGTTTTTATGCGTCTTTGGGTCGATTTTTCGTGCAGAAGTTGAAATGCAAATATGCTGCTTAGAAATAACAGTTCAAATTTAGATGTTCATCAGTTTTAATCTGTTGAGTGATGATGAACCTTATAGTCTTAACCGCACGTTTTGATATCGTAAGAATATAGCGGTTGAATAGCTATTATTCGCTCAGCTGCATTTTGACTGAGGGAGCATGCGGCAAGAGTGTAGGTGAGTGGTAAGCGGGAGCTGCTGGGGCAGCGACAGTTATGTGGTTTCACATCGCTATACGTTTGATATAATTTTTAGTACAATGAGCGAGACCTTTGAAATGAGATTTTGAGGATATAGGTCGCTAACTCGAGCATATTCTGTAGTCTTAGTAAGAGGGCGAAGGGTTAAGTAAGGAGGATTTACCCACCCGGTGTGAGATATCACGTTGTTCGAGTGTTTAATGATTCAAACATTAACAGTATCATTTTCAATAAGAAAAAAAATTTCGCTTACAAAGGTCGGTATTTGATTGAATAGCTAGCTTGTACACAACGAGATAATTTAATCAATTGAAATTAAGCAAAGAGGGTTGTTTTATCCATCGATGGATTCATATAATTGAAGGATTTTGTAGCTTTGGAATTAAATGATATCGAAATTCACTTTAGGATTGACTTCCTTCATTGAATTAATGTATTGGCCGAAGGTCAACATCTTAAATTTCAATTAATAACTTCAACTAATCATGATCCATATGTTGTCTAGAGATGCTTACAGGTAGGGGGAAGCCTTCCCCGTCTCCTGCCTCCTATTTCATTTCTAATTTTCGCAAGAATTTTCATTTATTTTTGTAGGGATCGGGACAAGGATTCCCCACAGAAAACTGACCCCACGGATAATTTTTCTCGGTTTATGATGTTATTTTAAAGTTTTTACTTTTTAATATAATCTTTATTAAAAAAATTATTTAAAAAAAATCAAATAAATCGATATATTTTATAAGAAAATATATATATATAATATTCTACCCCAACATAATTTCTAATATCCCTCCTAAAACAAAAGGTACATGTTTATAGGTTAAATCATCAAAATTCCCCATTAAAATTTTAAATTTTTATAAATTAATTAATTTAAACTCTCCTTTAGATTTTCATTTTAAAATTATTAATTTATTTTGAAAATAAAAATTTATTTAATATGATAAAAAAAAATGGTAGAAGCAAGTAGACTGTGGTTTCCTTATTTATTTTTTTCTATTTATTTTTTAAAAAATTACGTGATAGTTTTTCAAAAAATAATTATAATTTATTAATTGATTAGTAAATATAATTCTCCCTTTTCATAACTGTAAAATAAATAAATAAATATATATATATATATAATAAAAAAGAATATGATAAAATTCATTTTTTACTGTGAAATAAAGTGTGGGTGTATAATCTTTGTGAGAGGATTGAACATGACAGGTTCCTAAAAACAGCCCAAAAGGAATCTGTCCCACCCACTATCCTCCAAGTGATGGATTCACATGTTGGTAACAAGGGGCAATTTCGTCCTAAAATATTATGTTCACATGAAGCACTGTTCACTTTTTTTCTTTTTTCTTTTTCTTTTTTTTTTTCTGGAGGGAAAAAATAGGAAGGTTCACATGAGCTATAAGAATGAATAATGGGACCATACTCATAAAAATAGATGCAATTAAAATTTACAACACACTGGAGATTTGATTTCCCACCTACTCAATCAATCAAATTATACTTTGGTGGGTACCCCTCTTTTTAAAAAAAATCTTAATAGTAATTTGGATTAAAATTAAAATGATATCATATCATATCATCATTAAAATAAATCATAATAAAGATTACCATAATCGGGTCGAAATATATGAACTATAATGATTCGACAACTTTCAACGCGTTTATTAGAAACAATCTTTCATACTTATATTCCCATAATCTTCCTCTGAATTAGCCAATGTAGGACTCAAAATTCTCAATACGTTTCTCTGAGAGCTTTAACCCTAGTGGGTCTTAAAACATTATTTTAATATTTTTTAGTTCAATAATATATGAGAGTGAAGATTCAAACCTCCGACATTTAGTTCAAAAAATATGTCTTAACAAATTAAATCCATTAATAAATTAAAATTTTAGAGTATGACTCAAACAAAATTAAGATCTAACGGAATATTTAATGTAAAATTATTTGCTTAATTTATTTTTTTAAATTGGAAAAGCTAAATTAATTTTGTTCCAAATATTAGTACATTATTTAAAACATGTTCCTCAAAATTAGAAGAAAAAAAAATAGAGAATATTAAAAAGATATTAATGACAAAAAAAAAAAGGTAGGCAAAAGGACAGAAGAAAAGGAGGCACACAAGGTCGATGAATAGGCTCTCCTCGTTGGGAATCACTAACCATACCCATACCCAATAAATAAATAAATAAATAAATATATATATATATATATTAATCTAACAAACATGTTAGACGTGTGAAAATCAAACTTTTGAGTCTCGAGTCACGTTTGATAGAAAATGTTTTATAAATAATTAACAATTAATCACATCTTCCAGGAATGAAGAGTTGACATGAGATCTCCCCTAATTACATATGAGAGTATCTATATATGTGTGTGTATTTTTTTATTTTGATCGATACAATATGAGCTTTTTTCTTTTTTTTTAATACGTAATACTTTTGGGTTTAATTTATTTTTAAAGAAAAGAATATTTAATTTTTATTTTGATTTATAAAATATCTTAAAATTTAAAATATGATTTTAAATTATTTATTTGGTCTGAAATGAAAAAGGAGTTGAAATAAATATGATTAAAAAAGAGGCAAAAAAAAAAAAAAAAAAAAAAAAA